GACAGAAGGAAGGAGAAAACAAAAACAAAACAAAACTGTACTCACACTTACATAAAAAAGCAATAAAAAATAACCCAATCGAACAAAAATAAAAGACCAGTAGCAAAGAAAGAGAAAAATGAGAGATTTCTCTGTGATTTCAAGTCTTTGGTTATCTTCTGAGTCTACAGCTTTGTGACAGTGTCCAGTTTAAGGCGCAACTCAGCTCTGAGTCAGGGCGCAGATCCATGCTGAATAATCTCAGCAAACCAGCGGTAGGATTAGGGCAGGGTGCCACTTTAGCACTTTCAATTTCTCAGAAATTCAGGCTCAACCTGGTCTCTGGCCATGGGAGTAAGGCCTGAGTCATTTGGCTTACAACGCCCTGGGTGTCTCTTGCCGGCTGACCATGGCTCCCTGACCCTGGATGTGTCCCTTGGTTGTCCCTCACCCAGTCACTGTGGGAGTTGAACCCTGGAAGCCCTGAGATGAAGCCAGCCCTGAGCTAGCTGCTCTGAGTCCCAGGTTGAGTGGGCCCCTCCCTAAAACAGCATCTGGCTGGGCACTCTCTCCAGGGGATATGGCAGAGGCTTGGACTGGAGTCCCTCACTGGCTGTTATAGTGCATGGTACCCACTACTCTGTTCCACTGGTGCGCTTCTCCCTGAAGGCCCCTGGAGTCAACTGCTTCCACTGTGTCACTGTGGATTTGATCTTCCTTTCTTTCACCATGAGCCAGGAGCTGGGGGAAAAGTGCAGGTTACCCCTTCCTTTTTTCTGCATTGTGATCTGACTCTTCAATTTTTCTGTAGGCTCCAATTTTTCCTTCAGATCCTTCCTGGGTCCCAGGACTTCACCTCCCTCCTTTTCTTTCCCAGGTTGTTATTGTCCAGGGTCTGGATTCTGAATCTTGGAGAGGCTGATTTATTGCTGCTTACCAGTCCTCCATCTTCCTGGCACCTTTTAGTCTGACTTACGTCTTAAGTCACCTCAGCACCTTTTTGGAGTTCATGAGGTACAGAAAATAGATCTGACGTGCATTGAGGAGTCCCTTTAGTAGAAAGGAGTGAACCCTTCTCAGTGAGAGGCCAGAGGGGCACCTGGGATGGCTGAGTGGAGACAGGAGTGTTGTCTGGACTTTGCCGCATTTGCTGCTCCCGTTGTTCATTCTGCTGTTTCCTCTGTCAGCAATGGGGGTGGCACAGTCCCCATGTAGCCTGACCTGGAGAGACTCCAGCCCCCCATTCCTGCAGTGTTTCCTGGCTGAAGTAATGCCCTGATTTTCCCAGGAGAAGCCAGAAGATCTGCCTTTCAGGGTATGCAGTGGTTAATTACATTTTTTCTTTTAATTGAGGCCTCATCCCAAACCACCTCTACTGCTTCCTGACAAACTTTCTTGGTTTCTCTCTGGCTGTGGCTGTCTTAAAGGGTTTTATTCTTATTCGTGGGCATTACATAGGGATTATATTCATTGTGGGGAATTGGTACCCGGACTCTGACTGTGCCTGAGGGTGGAAGCAAGGCAGGTAGATGGCTTGTCTTCAGACTTAAGCAGCCGTTGCTTGTTTTTAACTCCACATCCAAGGCTCCTGTATAGTTAGCTTCCCTGGAAGGGAAGTTTAAGGTGATAGATACTTGTCTTACATTTCTACTTTTCTTCCAAGGGATTACAGAGAATGAGGGTGGAGCTCAATGAAAAATTAGCATCTACTTCTAGGTGATGGTCCCTGATTTTCCCCAGTGACTTTTATGTAGAGGATTAAGTTCCGGTTCTTGGCTAGAACACATTTTCAAATCTAGGTATTCAGTAGTTCTGAATGAGGACTGTGAGTCAAGTGGTGTGGGTTTAGCTGTTGGGAATGCAATTGCACTTCATGCAACCTACTTTTCTGAGCCTCAGTTTCCTCATCAGTAAAATAGGGATGGTCATGACTAATTCCTTGGCTTGTGATGCAAATGAAATGAATTATTGCAGATAAAATGCTTGTTACGGCTTGTATCTAGATGTTCCCCCAAAGCCTCATGTGGTCATAGGTGGGGTTTTTCAGAGGTGGCTGGATCTATAGTGTGTGATGCTGGGATTAAGATTATGTGATTGCTAAATTCGTCCCCTGATTGATTTGGCCTACGTATGGATATGTGTGCTGTCTGCCCGAGTAGTCTGGGTAGGGTATAAGGGACAAAAAGAGGGCTGCTGCCATTGCTGCTTGCTGCCTTTTGCCTGCCATGAACTGTTTCTCCTTTGTGATGACCCTCGGTCATGCCACCCTGCCTTGGAGCCAGATGATTATGAACTGAAACTTCTACAAATTGTGAGCCAAAATAAAACTTTCCTCCTTTAAGTTTGAGTGTCAGGTATTTTGTAATGAAAGAACAATATAGGAACATAACAGGAAATTGTCAGGAAGCAGCTTTGTTTTAGTTTTTGAATTGTTACTAATGGCATTGTTTTTCATTGGTGGTTTAAGTTTTGGCTTTTAATAGCTTTCCTCTTGGTACTAATATATTAAGGGGAGGGGACTCTTCAGGAAATAGCTGAAGTCACTCAAGATGTAATCTACGCACCGCACAGTGGACACAGGTCTTCAGTTTGCGTTTCAGTGGGTCTTGTCAACACCCATGTGAACACCTCTTCAGTCAAGATCAGAAAGTTTCTGTCACCCCAGAAAGTTCCCTGCTGCTCCTCTGGGGCATCTACTTTTCTAATTTCGGCCTCCCATAGGTTAGTAGTGCTTTAGTAAATTGATTTTTTTTTCCTTTTAAGCTGGGTTTTGCTTTGTTGCCCAGGATGGCCTTGAACTCATGCATGCAAGTGATTCTGCTACCTCATTCTCCCAAGTAGCTGTAGCTGGGACTACAGGGAACAGGGACACATTCTCTCTCTCTCTCTCTCACTCTCTCTCTCTCTCTCTCTCATGCGGTATTGAACACAAGTCCTCAAGCATGCTAGGCAATTGCTCTATCACCGAACTATACTTACATCCCTTTTTATATTTTATTTTGAAACAGGATCTTGCTACATTGCCCAGGCTGGCCTTGAACTTGTAGCCTTCCTGCCTCAACCTCCCCAGTAGCTGGATTTTTGGGTGTGCACACTCGTTAGTAAATCTGGATTTTATGTACAAATTATAAAAAGGGCTTAGCACCTTCACAGAGTTCCTTGTCTGTCTGATCACTGCCTGTGAATTTTTTACAAGCTCAGACATTCCCAGTCCCTTCCCACTAAAGCTGTTCCTCAGTATTTGCGGATGTTTAGGACCTCCAAGAGTGGACAGTTGGAATTTATTTCTGGACTACATGTGCATCTCTTTGTAAAGCAATTTCTAGCCTAGGGGGTAGCATAGAGGATTAATGAGAAATGTGTGTGTGCGTGTGCATGCGTGAATGCTTGTGTGCTAGTGTGGTTGTGTGTGTAGCTGGTCTGATAACTTGGTGGTATTTATTTGCAGCATGGTTAGTGAGTGTATCCAATCTTTGTATGATCATGCACTTTCCATTAATATCAATGGGATTTAACCAGCCCCAGTGCAGGGAGAAACAGAAACTAAAACATTTGAAAAAACAAACAACAGCAAAACCCAGGTTCTGACTTACAACAACAAGATGGCAGCGTGGGGTGAGGAGTCCAACCCGCGCCTAATTCCTTCTCTCTCTCTCTCTCTCTCTCCCCCTGCCCTGTGCGGTCTGGCCAGGCCTCACTCTGAACGCACCACTTTCCTTTGGTGGGAGTGTGTGCTTTACGTCGGATTGGAGACAGGCACAATCCTTTTGGGAAGATGTCTGGGTCTCTGGGAGAGAGTCACAAAGCAACACATCTCTGGTTAGGGTTACTTAAAGATTTAAAATACTTTGAGTTGAAATTAACATATTTCACAGGATAAGCATTATGAAAATGAAATCCTCAGGGAATTCCGCTAGCCCCTGGGCAGTTAATGCCATCTGTATTTTTAAAAAGAACTGGCCAGCTTTCAAAGAGGGCAGATGGGGGAGCAGTGATAAACACAGTGTCAGAGTGTAAGAAACTGAGTTTTTGCCTGTGTTGATACGGGGGAAAGCCTAGATTGTAATACAGCCTTGCTCTGGTTAGCTCCCCACACCCCAGTAGATGGGATGAGTTGGGTTGCTGGACCTAGGGGAAGGTTTTAATTTGTATTAGTTGGTACTTATATATAACCAGTGCTATTCTACGATTTCTTTATGCAACATTACAGATAAGACCAAAGTCCCTTCAATTCCTCCCTAATCCCTTGTCCTCCCATAGGCATCAAGGCAGTAGTTAAGACCGGGAAACACTTAGCAGTGCACACTGCCCTTGTGGTTTACATGAGCAGTGTTAAACTTTGTTAGTTGGTGTGCAGATGGTGCGCGCGCGCATGTGTGTGTGTGTGTGTGTGTGTGTGTGTGTGTGTGAGTCTGGGAGGACTGAACCCAAGGCCTTGGCACCGAGCTACATCTACATCCCCAGCCTGATTTCTTATTTTGAGACAGTGTACGATTAAGTTGCCCAGTCCCGGCCTGAACTTGTGTGCCCAGCCTATGGGGGCGCTGGGATGGCAGGTGTGTGCCCAGGAGTTCCGAAAGGAAAGGTGGTCTTCCTTCTGGACCGTCAGAACCATAGGTGGGTCTTACGTAGCCGCTGCTCAGTGGTCCTTCCCGTCAGCACTGTCTCCCCAGGTTCCTTTAGATGCAGAATAATGTGGCGGAGGAGAGCGGGAGCTCCCGTAGTCAGATCCCCGCGATGACCTGGTGGCTTTCTGTGCAGCCCAGCAGCCAGCAGTCACCATCCGTTGCCTGTGGATATTTCTTGGCCCCTGTCCCTCGTGTACTCTTCAGAGCTGACTGGATGGACTGGCCGAGTGTGTCAGCAAGTGCCCGTCCCTTAGAGAGGCCCTTAGAGAGGTCACCGGACCTGAGCATTTGGAATGGTTTGCAGGTCCTCGCCGCTACCCTCCCGAGTGACCTCCTACTTTCCCTGTGCTCCGCCGGTTTCAGCGGGGCTCACTCTGTCCTGTCTCTCCGCAGGGCTTCGTGCTGGCCGTCACCGTCATCCGTGAGGCAGTGGAGGAGATCCGATGCTACGTGCGGGACAAGGAAGTCAACTCGCAGGTCTACAGCCGGCTCACAGCAAGAGGTCAGCCTCCTGGCTCCGGGTCACGGGGCTGCAGCTCAGTCACAGGCCGCTGACGGTCAGAGGAACAGAGTTCAGGGCCCAGGTGGCAGGTGTGCTGCGTGGCTCGACAGCCACTCAGTAGCGTGGGCACCAGGAGGCCTCAGAGTACCTGGGCCTGGCGGGACCGGGCAGTGTCCCTGGGCTCAGGCCGCCTGTGCTGGCTGCCGAGAGTCTGGTGAGGTAACTGGCCTATCACGCCCTCCATTGGAATGAACTTCTGTGCCCTCTCTGGCCTGGCCTCTCCTCACCCCTGCTGGCCGAGAAGGATGGTGGGGCCGTTCACAGTCCTGAAGGACAGATAGCGTTCAGAGACACTTTCCGCAGGGATTTCTTTACCACCCAGTGCTGCAGGGTTACTTTCTCCAGATGCTGCATCTTTGAATCTGCCTTCGAGGGCGTCCTGTAAACCCCACACTGAAGCTTTGTGAGCGCTGCTGAATCCCATTCACAGCACAGGGACCAGATAACCCTTCTTCCTCACACATTTTAAATGGCAGAACTTAAAAGCCTAGCCAGATACAACCTTGGAAAAGCCATGGAAACCACCCAGCGAATGCTGACTTCGTTTTCCAACTGCAATAGATTTAAGTTTGCATTTGCCATGGAGAACGCTACATAAAGTTGGCTAATCTGTGCAGAGAGAGAGACGCACTTGGGATTATCCTCCTAGGATTACTGGCCCCACGTGGGGATGAATACTGTTACAGGAGAGGCCCGCGGAATTAAAGCTGTGCCTTGCTCTCAGGAAATTGAAAATTCTGGAAGAGATGAGGTAGATGGATGCCTAAGAGACTTAGCACCTGAGCTGCTCAGCGTTAGAGCTTTAGCTTCCGAATGGGCTGTCTGTCCAGGGTTTCAAGGTTCTGAGTAGAACATCCCTCCAGGAAAAAATTTAGGGTAATGTGTTTGGGGTTCAAAAACACAGTTGAAATTTAGTTCATGTGATCTCTTTTTACGGTGGGTGCCGTACAACATTGCAAGTTTCTTGGACAAGGGGCAATTTCTAATTGGTGTGCAAATGGTTTACTGATGCAAAACTATTGTATTTAGGCATTTTGCTTTCAAGAAAACAGAAGTAGCCAGTGTAACCTTTGCAGAGGCAGGTGGCTTGGGCTCTCTGTCTGGGTAGTCAGAAGATCCCTCCGGAGGGTGCTTTTTTTGTGGTCGTGTATATTAAATCCCCTCTTAATAACATATTCTTACTATAACCTTTAAAATGCTTGGCAACCAACAAAAGCCTCATCAGAGAGGGTAGGGTGGACCTCTTTAGAGCTCAAGAAAAGGGCCTTCGTTTCCATTCATGCGTCTATCCGGGGGCCCCCACCCTTCTGTGGTTCTTTTCATATTGCAATAGCTTTTCCTGGGATGATTTTTCAGCCCTCCCCTGCCAATCCTTCCTGGCTTCTGCCTTAACTTGGCTCCGTTCTTGAAAAGATGCTAAGGAGAATTGGCAGATGGCTCTAGCATTAAAAACGTGTCTTCCTGTGTCGGTCACCTTTTGTGGCCCTTGACCCCTATTGTTGTGCTGGTGCAACAGTAGGGGGAGCTGAACTCAGTTCTGAATATTAACCCAGGCCCTCGCTTTCCAGTTTTTCTTGACAGACCAACAAAGCGCTGCAGAAACTGTCAGCCCAGAAAGCGAGGGGCAGCTCAGTCATTTGATATTCTCTGTGGGGCGGGAGGGCCCAATAACAGCCAGACTGAGCTTTGCAGGGAGGGGAAGAAAAAGAAAGCCTTTTTGACCCTACTGTTGAATTAATATTTCCTGGAGGACAGCTTTCCACCAATGGCCTTCTTTAGTAAGTTCAGGAGCACAATGAAGCAAATACGTCTGTGTATTTATGAAGGTCACTTTTCCTCTTTATCACACGACATCTTAGTGTGTGCATTTCACCACTCTGTTGGGAGTTTAAAATTTTCCAGAAACAGAATACTTTGACCAGTAGATAACAAGCTATGATATTTACCTAAATTCTACATCATTTCCTGATTAATAAATAGTAGCAGTACTTGTAGTCATGTAGTTTTTTTTTTTTTTCTTGGTACCGGGGAGTGAACTCAGGACCTTGTGCTTGCCAGGCAGGCATGGTGCCACTAAGCTACATCCCTGGTCCTTTTATAAGTTTTCTAATAATTTCCAACTGGCAAACAAGTTTCAAAAATGGTACAAGGAACTCCTTAAAAAAAACAAAAAGGAGCCCCAACAAACTTTTCTCCAGGGTGGACAAGCTGTTCACATTGAGGACATGACTTGAGTATCCTCTCCTCTCTCTCTCCACACACACACACACACACACACACACACACACACACACACACCCTCACTGTTGCAAAGCTAAGTTGCAGATATAATTTCTTTTTTCCCCCCTTTTTAGTACTGGGGGTTTAATCCAGAGGCACTGTACCACTGAGCTACACCTCCAGCCCTATTTTAGTTTTTTAAATTAATTAATTTAATTTGAATTATTAAATTAAATTATTAAAATTTAATTAATTAATTTTTTGGTCCTGGGGATCAAACTCAGGACATTTCGATTACAAGGCAGGCGGCGGAACCACTGAGCTGAATCCCGAGATTCTGTTTTAGTTTTTGAGTCAGGATCTTGTTAAATTATCCAAGTTGGCCTTGAATTCACCTTTAGTAAAAAGTGAAAGATTTATCCGATCTGAAGAGGAGCATCCAGGTTATTTAGCCTTGAATTTATTATCCTCCTGCCCCAGCCTTGCAATTAGGTGGGATTACAGGCATGTGCTACGGTGCCTGGCCTTGACATAGTTTCTTTTTATCCCTAATACCTCAGTGTTTAACTCTAATGGAATACTTCTCTCATATAGCAGTGCAGCTATCAACATCAGGAAGTCTCACACCAGTCCAGTACTGTTGTGCTAATTTACAGTCCTTCTGTCTTGTCATTTGTCCAGAAGACACCCTTTGTGGCTTTTTGCCTGGTAGGGAACCAGTCCAGGTCTTCCTGCTTTCTCGGTCTCCTCTAACCTGGCACAGCTTCTGGGTTTTATAGTCTTGCCTGACATTGAAATTGACATTTTTGAAGAGGATTTGATGGCCAGTCATTCTGTAATTTGTCCCCTGATTTGTGTTATCTTATGTCTCCTCAAAGTTTGATTCATGATGCACATTTTGGGTAAGAGCTAATACATTTGAAAAAAAAATGCCATGCGAACACAAGGTCCTGAGTTCGATCCTCCATACCAAAAAAAAAAAAAAAAAAAAAAAAAAAATGCCGGAGACTCGCTGTTGAGATGTGGCCAGAGTTTTAAGGGATTTAACTTAATCACTTTGCAGACGTTTCAAAATTATTCTGAGAAAACTATCTGACTTTAAACAGCTGAACTAACAACTTGGATAATGAGGAACTCACCACTGGGAGGGAAAAGTAGATGACAGGTTGTTTGTTTGTTTTCCCCGTGGGATCGATCCCAGGGCCTCACACATGCCGTGCACGGACTCTACCACTGAGCCACACAGCCAGCCTGTACCAGATTTCTTTTAACAGTGGCTTCCAACATTTTGGATTGTCTTATTTTGTTCAAATTGTATTCAAAACAACACAGTAATTGGATTAATTTTTAGTGCAGCTTTCATGGTTTTATTAAGAAATATTTAAACGTTCTTTTTTTTTTTTTTTTTTTTTTT